GATTATGACTCAGGAGACGTGGAATGGGTCTGATAGTTTGCTTTTAGGACTATCAGGATGCAAGTGGTGCTGCTGCAGCTGGTCCACGGACCACCCTTTGAGTACAAGGTCATAAAGTAACATGCATCTTTAATCTTATTATTCTTGACAAGTTACATTCCACAGTAACTGTTCCAGTTACATGCCCACCAGCAGAATTATGGGAGCATTTATTTCCCACATGTTCTCTTTAATACTTAAGAATTATATTTTTGTCTGATAGATGAACTACAGTGTCTATATTTTTAAAAACATATTCTAATTTTCAACAAATTTAAGCATCCTTTCATGTTGTTACATTTGCTATTTACTTGTCTAGTTATATTTTTGATCCATTTAGATAGTTTTGTATCTGTATTTTATTGGGTTATTTCAATTCTTCATATATTATGGGTCCTTTGGCCTGTTAAATATCTTGCAAAGATTTTTCTCCAGGGAAGAAGGTTCCGCCCAGCAGAGCTGTCCAAGAACTGGATAGGAGGGGAGCATTTGAAAGATATGCAATCATATTTTGGGGAGGACTCTAGTGCCTCTGCACCTTTCTCTTTCATATTAATATGTCAAGTTGAGTGCTTATTCTACTGTATTTCACTCAGTTACATGTTGGCTTCCTCCATAAAAGGGGTGCAGGGGTGGGTGTAGACTGTAAATCATTTCTGAATCACCAGTACCCAGCACTGGGTCTAGCAACAAGTGGACCCAACTGAAAAGCTACTTGGTAGCACTCAGTACCAAGAGAGAAATCTAGTTGTAAGATTGCTGTCAGGATCTGCCCTGATGTTCAACTAGCAATTTGGGTCTAGAATAAGGTGAAAGACCCTTTACTCCTAGGGAGGAGAAAGTTTCTTCTGAGTAGCTTGTTTTCTCTGCTGTCATTTGCCTTTTAGATACTTAGATGCTCAGAGAAAATAATAGTACCAATAGTCAATACTGCTATACAAAATATAGCACCTTTAATGTACTTTATATACATTGATTTATCTGATTCTCCTAGCATCCCCATGAGATTATCACCATTGTTCTCATTTTACAGATGAAGAAACTGAGGCACAGAGCAATTAAATAACTTATCCAAACCACGCATCTAATTAATGGCCAAACTGGGATATGAAGCCAGTTGTCTGGCTCTCTAGTCTGCGCTCGAGAAACAATGTATGAAAAACTAGGCCGGGCACAAAATAGGTAGACAATAGAAAGACAAACATTCATTTGCCACCTCCCTCTCAGAAGCTTGCCTTTCAATCAGTGATAAACCAGACTGGTAGCCTGGCAGAATCAATCTTAGGCCTCTATAGCCTGGATTCTGAACCCGGTATCCGTCCTTGCTGGAAGCCCCCCCTTCCCTGTTCCCATGGGAACCTGGGAAGCCACTTCCTATGCAGCCTGTACAGGAATCAAGGTGCTCTGCTTCCTGGGCCTGGTTTTCTCCTTTATCCTCCAAGCCCTAACTGGCACCTCTGGCCCTGAGGCTTTGCATGGTGCTGCCACCTGGTGGGTACAGATGTCCGCAGAGTGGACAGGGTACACTGCCGCGGGTCAGTACTGGTTCACTGCTTCTCTTTAACCCTCAGGCCAGGCACCCACTCAGATTGTAACTGACTGCTGGCTCAACTCCATTGGTGACTGACTTTTCTCAACTCTGGTGTTAAAGATATTTTTAATGAAGGCTTAGTGTCAGTGGGATAAGATGTTGTAAGTCTACTTAGCTGCTTTCAAATCCCGTCAAGAGGACAGCTGCCTCCCCAGTGTCCTGGTGGGTAAAACTCAAAAGCTGTACTGGGGAGACCCTAGCCAAGATCTCTAGTCATTTTTGTAGTTTCTTTAAGGTGGCAGGGGTGAAAGGAGACCCCAGCTTCATGCTCTCAGGGTTAGTTTTAAGAACTACTTTGTATTAGTGTCTCTGCTCACATCCAGAGACTTCGGTTCTTTTAAACATCTCTCAGGCTGATTATCCCAGGTGGAATTTAATTTAAGGAAAAGCACGAAGGGGTTAAATGATCTAACTTAAGAATGAGAAACATCTTACCAGTTCAAAGATGATCATTAACAGTCTTCCAGAAATGAGGCCCATGTTAAGACTATGGAAGTAGTTTATTGAGACAGGTGTGGAGTAAACTGGACAGTGTCCAGGATAACTGGTCATTCAGATAAAACCTCAGGGCTCAATAGCTACTTGTGGAATCGAGTGGAAGATAGGACTCTCTATCCATGAATTGTTTATAAAGAAACTTGTGAGGGTCTAACTCCTTTTTGACCTTCTGTCTTGACAAAATCTTTTGGGTAAAACCTTTGTGCCCCTTCCTGCTTCCTTGGTTTATAACCAAAGGGCTTGGATGTTGTCTTATTTACTTTCTCATGGCTGAGATGCAATACCTGACATCAACAGCTGTAAACAGGAAAGGTTTATTTTGGCTCACAGTTTGCAGAGGTTTCAGGCCACAGTCAGCTGGCTCCAAGGCAGGGTGGCATGGCAGAGGGGCATGCCAGAGGAGAGCCCGCTCATGGTATGACCGGAGGAAGCAGAGAGAGCCAAAGGAGGAAGGAATCTAAACTCTTCTAGGCCACACCCTCAGCGACCCTCCTCCTCTAACCAGGCTTCACTTCCCAAATCATAGTTAGCTATAATCAGTGGACTAATACACTGAAGAGTTTCACACCCGAGTGATCCAATTACAACTCCAAAGCCCACCTGTGAGTGCATAAAGCTTTTTTTTTGGGGGGGGGGATCTGGATAAAACCAAAACAGAGGTATTGAGTAGGCCTAGGACAACCAGTGCCTGAGGTAAATAAACCATCATCCCATGTAGAGGGTCCTATCACTGCTCTACTGATGGGGGAGACAGGCATCATGAACTGAAAGCCAAAGTGCTGGGGCCCTGCTAGTTGAGATGAGCCCCTTGCTGCGTATAGCTTTAGTTCCTGTCAGCATCCATTAGGGGAGAGAGAACTTCCCTGTGCACTGACCAGGGAAGGGAGAGCAGATTTTGGAAGGAAACACGGAAGCCTGAGCACTTACTATGCATTAACCCATTCTTTCTTCAAAACCTTCAAAACCACAGCACAGGCACCGTTTCCATTTGATACTTTTCGGAAACTGAGCCCCACTGATATCTTGAAACTCATCCTTACTCACATAACTAACAAATGCTGGTCCAGGGATTAAAAGTTACAATCTGGCTGCACCTCCAGGGATTAGACTTTGAGTTAGTCAACTAAACCAGCCCTGAGACTTTCTGGAGAGGACAGCCAGTTTCACATTCCCTTGTTTATTTTTGTTGTACTCGGGCCCTCCAGAGCCACACCTTAGCATTATCTGGGAGATCAGAAGGTACAAACTATACATTCCACTTTGTTTCCTTCTTGAACCTTATACTTTTAAACTGCAGTTTTCTTTCTTTGTTTTTCCAAAGGAATGTGAAAAACAAGTTGCTTCTCCTCTAACTGGTGGTGGTTTGGAAGACCCTGGAAGAGCTGAACTAGAGTGGAAGGATGGAGCATACACTGCCATCAGCCATGGCCTGGAAATCCATCCAGCTGAGAGACCAGGCCCTTCCTTTGTGAGCTGAGCTGTGCTTCCACAAGAGGAGAAAGGGAGAAACAGGTTTTACTCCTACATGGAGGCGGGAGACATAGATTTTTTTACACCTTGATATTCTTTTCAGAACTTGTGCACAATATCTTTTCTACTGAATAGCCTCCTCTACCCCACTCACATCCCTTGTTCTCCCCTCCAGTTGGAGGTGAAAAAAATCTTCCTGGATCCCTAGTTGGTGTCTATGTTTATTGCATCTTTCAGACATTTTTTCGGTGAAACACTGGTCAAAGTTCCCTGGCCCATTCCAATGTAAACTTTCCTTTCTTCGATGCTGTGTCCTCTCTGATCTCCTAGTGCAAGTTCTTTGGATCCAGAAGGCGTCTCCAAAAGAGTTACCTGCCAGGACTGGCTGGAGTACTAGCCCAGAAGGTGTAGCGCACAGCAGGCTGCCTCTCTCATATGCAGGCCGGAATAATGCAATGTACTGAAGAGTATGGAAATTTCTATTTTAAAAATCTTTGTTAACACTTTCAAGAAATTCCTTTGGGTGCTGCGAAGTGGTTGTTCAGCAGAAGAGAAAATAGGAGTTAACACTTGTACTACAAGTAACCCCAGGGGTGCTCGTCAGCCATCTGTCACTCCCTCCAGCCAGTCCCCTGGACTTTCCCACACAGCAACGACACGCAGCACCTCTAGGGACTGTGTAGTCCACCGAAAGCGTAGTATCCCCCAGGCATTTCCACGCAGGGTCACTGTGCAAAGAGAAGAGCTCGGACCCTTAAAAAGAACAACTGGGGTTGCAAGAACATGGTTTTAGTCCTGGGAACGGCACAGACTGAAAGAACAATCTAGATGGGTCTAAAAGTTGCCTGTAGGGACGTCTAATAGGCCACCAGTGCTGCTTCTAGAAGATTCCCAGTATCAGGAAGCCGGCACAGGGAGAACAGCAGGCAGGTGGAGGCCGCAGTGAGACCGAAGTTAGGCAAGGACGGAGTGGATATCCACAGGCCTTCACCACTTCTGTGGTCGTTCTGCGCCCCTACTGCGGGAAAACGTGTTGGGATCATTTTTCTGGAGGGACCAGCGAGAAAAGCCCAGTGGCAGGGCAGGTGAGGGGAGCGGAGGCTCGGGTCCTTCCCACGCCAGAGACGCCTGCTTGAGAGTGAGCCAGGAAGTCCCCTAGAGGTGGAATCTGCCGCCCCGGGGCCTGACCCCGCGGCGCGCGCTCCGGGGAGCTCCGGATCCTTAGCAGCCTGCACTGCACGCGTGGAAGCTCAGGCGCGTCCCAGAGGCGGTGCCAAGGCGGTGAGCGGTGGGGCCCCGGCCGGACTCCGCCCCCCGCCCCCTCCTCGTTGGTCCGTGACCGCCCAGCACCGGCCCCGCTCCCAAGCCCGAGCGCGATTGGTGGCGGCGCTTGTCGCTCGGAAGGGGCCGGGCCGCGCTGCTCCTAGGCTTTCCCCGCCGCGCTGCTAGTGCTGCTGTCCTCCGAGCAGCGCGGGTCGGAGGCTGCCGGCGCCTGGCGATGGGAAGCGGCGCAGCCGCGGACCCAGGCAGTGGCAAAGTTCCCCAGACGTGCGTTTTGGGTCGCTCTGCTGCTGGCCATCCGTGACGGCTCTGAGAAGCTCCCAAGGATTAAAAAAAAAAATCTTTGAAAAAAAGAAAAAAACCCACTTCATTTCCTTTGTCAGCTCTCTCCGGGTGGCAAGAGGCGACAGCTGCAAACTTGGGCACGGAGGCTCCGCAGCCCGCGGACTGGCTTTGGAGGAACCCCGCGACTCAGGTGCGGGCACGCCCCGCGGCCCGGCCTTGCCCGGGGGTGTGAGCGCGGGGCAGTCCGGGGGGCGAGAAGAGGAGGGGCCCCGGGAGCTCTATATGGAGGAGGGAGTCCAGAATGGTGTGCACCAGGAAGACCAAAACTTTGGTGTCCACTTGCGTGATCCTGAGCGGCATGACCAACATCATATGCCTGCTGTACGTGGGCTGGGTCACCAACTACATCGCCAGCGTGTATGTGCGGGGGCAGGAGCCGGCGCCAGAAAAGAAGCTGGAGGAAGACAAAGGGGACACTCTGAAGATTATTGAGCGCCTGGACCACCTGGAGAATGTCATCAAGCAGCACATCCAAGGTATGGGCGCCCGGGGAAACTTGAGCCGCCCATGAGGCCCAGAATGCCCAGTGCCGTGCGGGGTGAGCTGGGGTTGGTGCGCCGCACCCCCGCGACTTCGCAGCTCCTGGGCTGCAAACCGCGCTTAGGTTCTCGCAGGCTACGGGAACCCTCGGCGTTCGCGGCCCTGCGCACTTCCCCAGCGCACATGTGTGCGCGGGACTGCACGCGCGGGTGTGTGCAGCTCGCGGTCGATGTGGGGGCGTGCTGCGCACGTGTCCAAATGTGCGTGTGACTCTAGGCTGGTTGCTCGTGGGCTCTCGGGGTCGCACACAAGTCCAGTTTAGAGTGTGTGTGCGTGTGGTGTTGGTGTATGTACCGTAGAGCGCTCGAGGGCGAAAAAGCTCTTTTGGCCGCTAGAAGGGGATAGGCGAGTTGTTCGCACGACCGCAGCTGTGGGCATTTAGGACTCGCGGGTTGCGGAACAAGCCCAGCCTAGGAAAATTGCATCGTCCTAGCTGGATCCCTAAACGACTGGGAATGGAGGGCAGCACTGTGTGGCTGGAAGGCTGCTGAAACCGATATGGATCGTCACAGCCATCGCATCCGGTGGGTCCCCGGACGCTCCCAAGAGCAGGTGTCAAAGCCAGGAAGAAGCGTTGGTGCCTGAGCCCTGGCCACTGCGGTGGCGCCTCCACCCAGGACGGTGAAAACCTTGGGCTACGCCTTCCCAGCGGGGACCGGGCGAAGGCTGATCCCTCCGGTTGCACCACTCTCGGGCACCGCTCCCCGGAGTGGGAAGCAAAACGGGAGACCTTGCGGGTGGGCCTGGAGTGCAGGCTGCGCCGAGTGGGTGTGCTCCACCGTCGCGCGGTCCACAGGGAGGGTGACATGCGGCCGCCGTCCTCCTGCCACCCGGTGGGATGAGCTGACAGAGAGGGAGGGGTTGGAGTACCTGGCACAGCATACACACAGCGCCTCTCTTCCGCACACTTCTTTTTCCTCCGGTCCCTGCGCCCCCTGTATTCTGTTAGGTTGTGAGCTTCTTAAGGACAGGACCGAGGCTAAATCACCTGCAAACCTGGCAGGCTTTCTGGTGTCTGGGACCAGCACGCAGGTGGTGGGACTGTGGGTGGATTGGAGGCTGCTGCCTGTGGAATACGGGCCTGGGTTCCAACCTTTGCACCTGCTCCCCCTACCTGCTCTGTCCCTGTGCTTCCTCAAGCAGCCAGAGCAGTTGTTGCCCCGGGGAGGACGAACCAGGCCTGGGTAAAGACAGTCTTAAGAGATGTCCTTGTTCCTTGTGCTTCCTGACTTAGGACTGTCTCTAGCTTTGTCACCTCTCCAGAAGAGAGACATCACCTCTGGCAGCTCCTTGAGGCCTTGCTGTGCCTCTCCGTCAGGCACTGGGTCTGGAAGACCAAATTCCACATCCAAGAGTGCCTGTTGCTGGTGTTTTTCACTTGTCATTTTCTGTACCCTGGGGCCTGGATTGACAATTATCAGTCATGGAAGTGTGATGTCTGCCCAGGGTTTTTCAAAATGTTCCCTGGAGACACAAGACCATGTCCTACTTTGATATTTCCAGTTTATCCACAGGTTTTGAGAGATGTTTTAGTCACATGTTTTTATGCATCTCCTTCCCTGCCTTCCCCAGGCTGCCACCACCACTTGTGTGTGTTCAAAATGATCCCCTGTGTCTTCCTGTCTGGTCAGGGAGATGATGGGTAAGATACTGCTTTGGGAAGCATGGAGGGTGCAGTGTGAACCCTTGTGCTCAGCACCATTCCTGGCCGGTCCCTCTGTGGACCCCTCCACCTGGAATGTAGACCAGCTCGTGTGATTTGTATATGAGGCTCTCCATGAGAATGAACACAGTATTGATGTTGAAAGGAGCCTTTGTGATTTCCTCTCAGGAAATCTTATAACTGTGTGTTGTCTGAGACTTTCAAATGTATACCTGAGAAAATGGGAGGTAGGTGCAAAAGAGGGCAGGATCCTTAGATTGTGGCCCAGTTCTCTTGTGTATGCGCCACGACTCCTCTGGATATTCAGAAATGTCACAATCTCAGGACAAAGGGGCCAGAGCTGTGGTGCACAGTGGGGTGAGCAAGGGTGGAGACTTGGGAGCGACTAGTGATGGGCAGACAGAGGGCAGAGGTGACTTGGTTGGTTGTGCTGTGATGGTGTTGGATAACTGACAGCCTCCTCATGATGACACGGATGTCCCTGGGCTCAGGTCTAAGGAACACAGGTAAGGCACCCACAGAGGGACTGACCAGGTCGGGAGAGGACAGTAAGATCAGACTCCTGACTTGTGTAACTACTGCTGAGATGAGAGGAGTAAGGCTTAATTATGAGAAAAACTACACAGCACCTACTATGTGCCAGATCTTCCACTAAGCACTTTGCATATGTTAACTTCTTTGCTCCTTACAATCAAATGGTAATATTGGCTCCATTTTACAGAAGTGGATACTGGGGACAGTGAAGTGATTGCATTTGTCCAGGGTCAGGGCATGGTACGTGATAGCACAAGGATTTAAACTCAGAAAGTGTGGCTTTAGTATCTATGTTCTTTAATGTAGCCAGAGAACAGGTTTATCTTGGCTCTTGTTCTGGAGGCTAGTGCAGTGGGTGCCAGTGTCTGCTGGGCTCCTCTTGTCAGCATCTGTGTTCTTGGCTTTGTGTTACGTTTCATACTAAGAGGGCTGGCAGGTCACAGGGGAAGAGCACACTCTCTTGGTGGAAGTGAGTGTAAGGGTGAAAGCCCTCAGAGAGTGGTTGAGGGTGATGGGATACGTGGTTTCCCAGATGTAGGAGCTTCACATGATGAACTCAGGCAGCTCCAGGTTTGCTTTTGTTTCCCAAGGAGAGGCAGAGGTTATATTCACTTTATTAGTGCTTGGTAAGCTCTCAGGACCATTCCTGGAAATTCCATAAAGTATGCACTAGATGGATAAATGGGTAAATGAATGAGGACAGAGTACTGGTACCCAGTGCACCGATTAACCATCAACAGAAGCTTTGCCCTTCTCCAAGGATATGCTTACTTTGGACTTTTGCTCAGGCCCCTCTCTTCTTTAGAAGGAATGCTGTCCTGAAGCTGCAGACATCGCAGAATGTGCTGCAGGATGTTCCACAGGACTTGCAATTAGGAGAGGCTTTGGAGCATCACCCTAGAGATCTGCTCTAGTCATGACTGAAAAGTTTATTTTCCTTTTGAGGATTGTAGTGATATTTCATTTTAATTTGTTTTCTGATTGAATGACTTAATTAGATGGTATGTGGGGATCTCTTGGGAATGTAAATTGTATTTTTGAGAAAACTTTTTTTTTTAACCAAAAGAATGTTAAATGAGAAAGTAGATAGCTTCAGGTTTTAGAACAAGCATCTTGATGGTTTGGAAACACAAAATAAGTATTAGTACAGGTTCTTCTTAGGATCTCGAAAAGGTGAAGTAGATGAAGGAGAGAGTTTGCCAAAAGAAGCCAACTGAAGTGTTGGAGAACCTACGGAAGGGAAATGTTGGTTGACTTATTTTGGAAGTTCAGTAGGAACAAACTTGAACTGATTCTTTTTTGAATCCCTATCTTTTTGAATGTGTCAAGGAAGGTACCAATGGTTAAGAAAATATTTAAAAATATAGAAAGTTGTCCAGGATTAAGTCTACCCTAAAAATAATTATTTGCAACTTTGAGTGTTTCCTTCAAGTTTTATTCATTTGTCTCTATATTTACAAAAGAAAGTGCAGCTATGATTTACATGGAATTTTATATTCTGTCTTTTTCATTTTGCTTTTTGTTAGAAGCATAGTTTTTCACATTTGCTACACAGTTTATTAGTTCAACATTTATCTCCTGGGGACCTAATGCCAGAAAGTACACCGGGGGAGTTATTGGGCATAATAAACCGAGATGCTCTTGGTTCTTGCTATAGTGGATTTGTTTCCTTATAAATAAGATTTCTCTCATAAACATGTTTGTAGCTTAAGTCAGTCACCTGAAAGATTACTCAAAATGAAGACTAAAAAAAATAATACATATATGATTAAATACTTTTCATGTTATTCAAAATGTACATCCATTGGCCAATTTTTTTTTTCAACAAGTATTGGGGATCAAATCAAAAGGCGAATTACCACTGATCTACATTCCCAGCCCTTTTCTAATTTTTTAAATTTTGAGACAGGGTGTCAATAAGTTGCCCAGCAGACCTCAAACTGCAGTCTTCCTGTCCTGTCCTTCCAAGTAACTGGGATTGTAGGTGTGTGCCTCTGCACCTATCCACTGGCAGTCTTTTGATGTCAGGCTAACGTTTTGTCCTTAGGGCGGGTGCTGATTTCTGCTTCTGCTTTGAAATTCCTTGGGAACTAAAAGGTGCTTGGAAAGCAATCCCAATGTAATAAACTGAATTTTTGTATTCTGTTGTCTGTTCTTGTAGTGATTTTGCTGACATGTAATTTGGCTACTGTGGTAGATTGACAACGGGTGATCACCTTGTAACCCTGAGCTGAACTGAATCAGTGTGTGGCTGGGTGTGGGCGGCCCACTTGATGGTTGTTGCCAGCAACATAAAAAGGAGAACTGGAGAGGAAAATGGGGTGTTGTCGGTTATCCTGTTGCCATTAGTTCTCCTGGAGAAGCTTGTCAAGCTTCTTTCCTGAGATGAACTCGACTTTTCTCATTGTCAGAGGAGCTCAGGACCTCATTGTCACAGAGGATGGCTGTGATTCACTTTGGGGGAGCTCTAGTCCTTACTTTGAGCATCACTTTCCTGGTTTCAGAGGGGAAGATAAGTGTTGTTCAGTCTTCAAGTTCATCATTGGAAGAGCTGGGGACTTCACTGTCACTCAGGCTGGATGTGGTACTTTTCAGGAGATCTCTGGTTCTTACTTTGAGCATCACTTCCTGGCTTCCGTGCAGATCCCTCAGCCTGCTGGCACGGATCCTTCATCCTGTTGGCACAGACTTTTTAGCTTCCATAGCTGACCTTTGGGCCTTCCCAGTGCAGATCTGTGA